GTGTCCTGGTGTCTCATTTTCATTCACGCAGATAAAATCAGACACTTTCTGCGCCTGTGGAGAAACGAGCCGTCCTTGTTTCACAAAGGCAAACGGAGCTTTTCAAAATAAAGCTGTGTTCAGTGAACGATGTGAGGATGAAAGCATGTGAAGATGAAGCTCTGGTCGGATCCGTCTGAGCAAACATCTGGTCTGCACATGTGGAATCACTCAGGTATTTCCTGCAGAAACACTTGAGTCAGTTTCCGCACGATGAACGCGGCGGCGCGTTACAGTCTGCACGCTTTCCTAACCTCATTTTGTACTTTTTCTCTGGACGTGTCAGGGATTAGCTGGAAACGCCGATGATAATTTTTCCCGTCACACTCATTTGAGTGTGTGCTCTGCAGCACCGAGCCTTTCTCTCTTCATCACGAGGAATATTTGTTTCCTGTGAGCGTGTGCCGTCTGCAGGGACGCTTCGCTCCAAGCACACTTCATAAGAAAGGCTCGAGTCAGGAAGCCGCTCGCCTGGGAGCAAAACGCCGGCAGGGTGTTTGCACTCCGCCGTGCTTCCTCCAGCTCGCCCTGCGGCTGATTTGTTTACATCCATACAAACGTGCAGACGGGCTCGATGTGTTTCAGGTGTACGACGTCATCATTTAACCTAAAATCACTTTATCTGAGCTGTGTTCAGCACAGCATACCGCCGTGCAGACTCGTTGCCTAGCTGCGCCTCACTGTGGTCCACTCACACGCTCGGCGTCCTGAGCTGTCACACCGCAGACGCTGCAGGTGGTTATTTACGATGACCATCATATTGCTGACAGGAAATGATGGCGTCCTGCTCAGATGGCGGTGATGATGGAGGTGCAAACAGATGGTTTTGGTGCAAACGGTGTTTAGAGGAAGTGACACAGATGATCTCCGCCACAGCAGCGTGAACGACACACGGCGGGCGTTGCCATGCAGACAGAGCAGAGAGGACGGGGTGAGATAAAAAGGAAGCGAGGAAGGAAACGGAGAGCAAGGCGAAGCTGTGATGCAAGAGGTGGAAAGGAGGAAGATGAGAGAGGAGCAGCAGCACAAAGACAGAGGAAGAGATCTGTGTCAGGAAGACGTGCAGCCGGGTCGGAGAGATTCACGGCGCTCTGACTCAGCACTTTGGTCACCGCAGCTTTTATGGGTTCGTCTTGTTTAAAGTCGGGGATGGATATCTGTGGAGGACCACAGCGCTGACTCTGCTGACGGCGGCGTTTTATAGGATGTTTAAAACGTCTTCCTGACGCG